TGATCACTGCTCAGATATGTGTCCTAGCTGCCACCCCAAAGTTTGAGTCCAGTTTCACACCTCCTATCAACTGTTGGTAACTGTAATCTTGTTCAAAAGTTGGTGTGGATGAACACAATGATTGAACAGTGTGGCCAGTGTAGGGTGCACACTTAGCACACACACCAGAGTGCTCTGAAGGCATCGTCAAGACATAGCATTGTTGTTGAGGGAGGCAACAGGGCAGATGAAGGACAAGGGGACTAGACTTGGCAGTCAGTCTGCCTTCGCCGATAGTCAGCTGTCGACAAGCTGTCAAGTCGTGTCTATTTGTCCGACCCAACGGCAGAAGTATTTTTGCATAGTGAGAGCACACAGAAGGCTTCCAAGATTGCAATGGTGTTGGTGTGAGAGGTTGCAACTTGATAGATGCTGAATATTGTGGCTTTCAGTTATGGTGGTGGTCGTGGGGCTACGAGCTTAAAAGTCTTCTTGTCCAGAGTTTCAGTCTTGTCATGACAATGCCACTTGCATTGCAAAGCTGATATCGGGTTTCAATCTGTGGACGTTGCCCATGTTGTATTGTCAGCAAGCCATGTTTGCATGATGTGACTTTTGGTTTGTCGTTGTGTGTCCTTTGTGCTGGCTAGCAGATGTGCAGCTTCTGTGCTTAAGCCTCCCACACAATCTCATCCTTTGCCTTGCATTGTGTCCAGCTCCACCTGCCTCAACTCCAGGCAGCAACCAGGAGTGGATACAACTGGAACTGGACCGGCTGAAGAGCGAGTTTCAGTTCAAAAACCAGATTGCCAGCATGTTGCGCACCACTCTTGCAGACCTGAAGACACAAAGGGGAACTGGGCCCTATGGACAGGGAGGGCCGCTGCCAGGAATGCCGCTCAGTGGAGTCCCGATGCCACCCTCACAAGACCAACTGCAGGGCGGTCTTCCTGCGCCCAGCGGTGGCATAATGCACAGCCCCCACAGCGCCATTGCCGGCCAAGGAGGCGGGATGGCACAGGGGGGTGGCCAACTGCCTGGCTCAGCCACGGGCCATTTGGGGGGCCAAATTCCTGTGGGTGGAATGCCCCAGGGGGGCATGCAAGTTCCTGTGGGGAGTCCCCACGCAGGCATGATGGCTGGAGGGCTTACGCTGCCACACGGGGAAAGCCCGATGTCAGGTGTTCAAAATTCTGGAGTGTCAGGCCTGGGGATGCAGGCACCACCGCCATGGCAGGGAGTTGGGTATCCAGGTGGATATGGTGGTGGAATGGGGAGTGGCGACATGGGTGGCAGGTCAGGGCCGCACGCTCTCATGAGCCCAACGTCACCACTGCGGGAGCTCTCACTAACAAAGGCAGAGTTGGAAAAGAAAACCAGGCGGGTCAACGATTTGTTAGCTGAGCTTTCGCAGTATGATGCACATGTGAGGGTGCTGACGAAGGCACTGGAAGATGAACGACATGACAATGCGGAGTTGACACAAGAAAATGTGCTCCTTAGGAGTCAGGTGAGGACTGTTGACAACTGCAGGGCGGCTTGTGCTGTTGAAGAGGGTGGGAGCCCCTTGTGCATTATTAAGGAGAGGAGTGGTTCATGTGTTAGTGCACAAAGAGCAAAGTATGCATAGGACTGCAAAGCGTAGCACCGTATTGGCAAGGTGCACTGTCGTGTCGGCAAGGGCCGCCAGCACTGTGTCTTGTTGTTGCACCAGCACTGCACCAAGTGTCCTCATACATACCTTGATGGTCAGCTCCCTGCTTGGCCAGCCACATTCTGGTCCTAGCCTTTCAACTTGCTCCTGACAAAAGACTGTTCTTGTTTGTCACAGGTGGAGAGGCTTGCTACCGCCAGTGAGAAACTGCTGAGTGGCATGATGGCAATACAAGCAGCATGATACCCGCTAGTTTCAGTTGTTAGTGCAGCAATTGTGGGAAGCCAGGATGAGGCCTGTGGATAATAAGGTGCTTGTGGCGGATGTTCAGTGCATGATAGCAAGCCTGCCCCTTGAGCTGATTACCTGGGGAAAGTTGAATGTGCATGAAGCAGTCGGCATGGTGTGCACCTGGCCTGTTCGTCATTCAGGTGGTTCCGTGATGTTTGCATGGTTTACCTGTGATGGAAGTGCAGGGTGTGTGTTGGTCGTGTGTGCTGATTGGGTAGCTAACGTGCGCCTTACCGTTGACTTTCTGTTCATGGGAGTGTGGTCGGCTTGCTCTGCAGCGTATCTGCAGAAATAAAGGTGGTCTTGGAACATCTGTGCAGCCGTGCACACAGTTCGCATCCAAGGGAGGGCAATCCTGGAATTGGTTCAAATTTGTTATTTAATACGATGCAACAGTTGCTTGTTGGTAGATTATGTTTTGTCGGTGTGAGAAGATCTCGGACGCCGTGGGGATTGGGTGCCTGCAAGGACACCTGCCTGCGGGGCTTCTCCGCTTTCTGGTGTGGGAATTCTTGGCCCCTTGAGTGACGGTGCATGGTAGTGTGGAAGGGTGGGTGAGTTGTTGTGCCATTTCCTTTCGTTGATGGCGAAAGCAGCGTCACTTGGGGGCTTCGATGGACCGGAAATTGTGGCATCAGGAGTGCAGTTCATCGTTGGCGGCTTTGTAGTTTTAGGCAGGACTCACAGATTCAACATGGGTGCAAGACGGGAATGACCAAGAGTAGAGTGTGTGGTTGCTAATGAGCAATTTGGTCTGTCAACAACTGGCGGCGTTTGTACCTGTGGCCGGTCTTGTTCGCCAAATTTAAGTTTGGCAACTTCAAACACGGGTGCAAGCCAGTTACGGACAAAGAAGCTCGCTGGATATTCTTGTGACGCACAGAGGCAAGCGGCAGGAGTGGCAGCAGCAGGAGTAGCGGCAGCAGCAGCAGCAGTAGCAGCAGCAGCAGCAGCAGCAGCAGTAGCAGCAGCAGCAGCAATAGCTTTGCTGTTCATGATGGAGCAATCTGAGGCTAGTAGGACACATGTGTACATTTGGCCAACACAATTTGACAAATGGTGCAGTTCAGGGAGTCGCCTCTTTTGGCACGGGGCTTGAAGCACTATACACCCATGAGGATGCCTGGCACAAATTGCTCCCACAGTACTCCATCAAGCCGGGTTCGAGTGTGGCGATTTTACCAGTGTGGGGGAGCTGCCTTTGTGGCACTTTGCCTGGGCGCCACAGCACATGCTTTGCCACAGGGAGCATCGGTCCCAAACACCGTGCACTGGCGACCGTCCATCCACACGTCTTGCCCATAGCTTGGGACCGCCGTTTCATGGGCAAACGACGGCGACAGCGTGACAGAGCGCAGCCTATGGTTTCCAGCTGGGCCCCAGGCGTGCTGCGTTGTGCTTTTTGCAACGCACGCAGTCCTCTGCAGCCTCCTCTGCTTCTACCCATCCCCACACCCACACCCAACCCCGTCGCCTACCCCCACCGCACCACCACCACCACGTACGTCGCTGATGCGCGAGAAACATTCGACAGGTTCTAGCCAGGTGCTGCCCCCTATGCCTACGGAAAAAACGTTCATTTTCTACGCCCACGAGCACCAGGTGGCCAGCGTGTTCTCTTCTCTGCAAGCAACAGTGTTCGATTCGTCATTCCTCGTGCATCGACCCTCTGTCGTTCACCCCCACGGCCTGGGGAAACAAAATCCTGAAATCAGGCGCGCCCTGCATGCATCGTGTCTGCTGCCGCATCTGGTGCGTCATACTCTACGCTGTGTCAATGTCTGAGTCCCAGCCACCAAGCCTCTCTGAGGGCTGCCCATTGCAAAATAGGCAAAACTCATTGCCCAGCTTGTTCCGATGCTCAGGGCGGAATTTGGCAGGCCTCAAGCCCCACCCTTCGTATGCAATAGTCTTTTGCGACATGCCTGCGGCACAGTGTTCGAATTCAGCTGACTCCTCAATGAGCACCCAAACCGCAACCACAAAGAGCGCCTGGATGGCGTGGCTGTCATGCTACTGCAGTACTGAGCCCCAACACTCCCCTCCTGACGCCACATGATGGTTCCATCCCTGGTGCATGACAGTACGTCTGCACAGCTATTGATATCATCAACAGCACTGTCAGCTCGGCCGCATTTCGTCAGAACGCCATGGCATATTGAAGGGCTTTCCATTATTGTTCTTGCCTGCACAACAACTGACGTTTGGCGGTTTCAACGCATGGGGAATGCAGAAGTTGGTTCTCATCTTGGTTGATTGTGAGTTTGCTACCACAGCGCCTGGGTGACAGTTCCCTGTCAGCCCTGCCTTGCCCCCAAACGCATCAGAGTGACGCCCGCCAAGCCAATTTGGCTTCCCATTGGTTCCAAATTGTGAGGACTTCACCATTTCTGTTCGCGGGTGGATATGTGGCACTGATCAAAGGAACAGTGCAGGTTGCGCCATATACACACACTTTGATATCCCTGCAGTACTATTGGTGATGGCTACTTATGTCGGCAAATCCTGTGGGTTCAAACATTACCAAGCTCAATCCTTCGCAGATGTGTGATTCTGGCTGCTGTAATTCGTGAACAAACAACAGCCACCTGCAAGGTACTGATTGGCACACTCCCCATCCAAAGTGACTATAGCCCTGTTTGCACCCCGACAACGGCGTCCTCCACAAAAATACTGATTGTCATAACCACCCTTCACACATTGTGCATCGGCGCCGTTGCTATTCCTGCCGATGGACGCGGCACACTACCAACCTGTCAACAAGAAAATCTTGATCTTGGTGCTTTCTCTAGCCAGAGCCATGGTTGTGGTCATTGTCTTCTCCAGGCACTCTTTACTCTTTTCATGCATGAAAAGAACACAGTTAGATGATGTTCTGGTGCACACTTCTGCCTTGCCAGTGGCTCTGCACTTCTATTGAACAGTCAGAGGAGACAATGAATGGTCGTTCTCAGCTCCTGGCCGCACAGTCACTCAGATCTGAACGCATTGTTAGCCTCAGCAGTTTGGCTGCCTATCTGTACTGTCCAAAGGCGTACTGCAGAATCAATGATGCTGGCATGAATCGGATTCTCAACTACATAGTCTCCCCTCTCTCAATGTGAAAACTGCCAGAAAGCTCTGCATTTGAGCCACTCACAAGGTAGGGAGGGTCAGCCAGGACGACGTCAAAAGCGCCTTTTAGCTCGTCAGGCAATGCCAATGGTTTGTTGTAGTCGTAATGCACAAAGTTGCCAAAAACCTCAAATCGTGTGTCGTACTCCAGAAGGTGACATTGGACCTCTGGAAAACTTTGTAGCAGTGATCTGAAGAGGGAAGGACAGGATATGCACGCCACACGACCATCAGTGCCCACAATGTTGGCCACCTCCTCAGCAACTGCCATTGCAGTTTCTTCAGTGTACCAAAACTGCAACACGCAAATCAACAATGGTGCTCACTCCCAAAACTTGTGTTCTCTATTTCCACAGTTTAGCATGCCATTGTCCTTTGTCCATTGTTTCCCTATCATCTTCTGAATTTGTTGGAACTTGTCACACAACCCCGTCCTGGACTGAGTGTGCCCAATGTATGATAGTAGAGTGAGAAGCCATAGCCATTAACCCTCACAACTCCAGAATTGGCATTTCAGAAGATCCTAAAACTTAAAATGTGGTAAGCCACCCAAAGTGCTAATGTGCAGCTTGGGCCCATTTTCAACAATTTATCACAACAAGCAAGCATGCAAACATGCCCCTTCAGATGAACTCGCAGGGCTTGATAAATAGCCCATCAATGTTCACTACTGATACAAACTCCTGAATATTATGCCATCCACTGCGTTCATTGCCCCCGTTTATGGTTTGGAGGTGCCTGGATTTATTCGCTTGTGCGATCTCGGTGTCTGAACCAATGCGTATGCGCCAGTTACGGCTTTCGATCGCGGGAGGCAAGGGAGTAGCGAATCCTACGGGTGACAAGACAGAAAATCCAGAAATGTGCGGACAGTGGCAGCCAACACGAAAGCGTGCGAGCAAGCCTATCTCATGACCAGGCTAAACGGCAACGACATTGACCCTGCCACTGTCCGCAATCGAGGCGTGCGCAGCGGGGCTGCCACTCACTGCAACGGCCGTGACAAAGGGCCCCGGCGTAGATGCAGAAGGCGGCATTCCCACCTGCGAAAGTCCCCAGTCCTCTGCGAAAGGATCAGCGTCTGTCAGGGCGTCTTCAAGCTGCCCATTGAGAAAGTCGCCAAGGGCGAGAAGCGTCGATCCCGACAGGGCGGGAACTTCGTCGTCCGCTGCGTCCATGGTTGTAGAAGCCTCTGCCACTGTGTGTCCCTCTTGCGCACGCAGCACAGTGCTCCAATTCGCCGGGTTTGTCCCAGTCTAGTCTAAGTTTGTGGTTTTGTTTGGCGCTGGCTGGCCTGGCAGCCATGCAGCTGCGACTGATTTGTCAGCTGCTGATGTGGGGTGCTGATGTGGGCTCATTTGGATGTTTCAAGCAATGACAGAATAATTGGACGCTGGATAATCCAGCGTCACTATCATAGTGGCACCCGCTTCATCGACCGTGCCGCTTGAGACTCGCGAGGCGTCGCAGGAAGCAGTTTTTGCCTGTTTCTCGGATATAGATGTTTGCATATGCATTTTTTATGTGCACGCATCCATGCATGACAATATAAATTGTTCGATTACAGTTCAATCTATTCAATTTAATGGCCATCGCTGTAATCGAGTAAAAGATGGTGGGAAAGAGTACGGACATAGTCGGCCAGTTTTCCCTTGAAACGTACTAAGATGGCTGATTTTGATAGTCCTGTCACTGCTCAGTACACAAGAAAAAACGTGTGCGCAGTCAGCTACATTCCAGTACGGTTGACTCAAAGCGGTCTAGGCTTAGATGTCCCCTATTCTGTGAATCTGTGATTGGGATAATCAGAGCCAGCCCAACCTGTGTAGTTTGGGTCATTTTAAGGCCAGTCGATGGGCAGCACGGTCATCTACGGCTGCGCTGTCATTTTGCCAAGGAAAAGGGCAGTAACTAGTTTGGTTGGACCCCTAGGTTGACGGGATGCAATACAGTTTTGAGTCACTCATTTCCAGTACACAGAATTGAGGCTATAGGTACATCAGACGGAAAGAAAGGGGCCGTAGTGTGTACAGGCCCGATGGAAAGCACCCTTGAAAAAAAGGCTGGTCCGTTCGTAGGGAACTCTTGGGTGACTTTCGCAGAGAAAGAAGGCCAAATTCTGGCCCCTTTTGAGGACGCCATGGACCGTAGGGGTTGTCATTCAACGGACCTGGACTTTTTCAACAGGTCCTAAGACCTTCACAGGACAGGTACTGACAGGACGTAAGGGTTCAGTGAGTCGTGATGGGACATGGTGTGCGGCTGCTGACAATACTTTGTTGCTTACCAACTGTATGGGAAACTGCCCTTTGGTAATTTTTGTATTGTACTGCGTCGTACACGTTCGTCACATCCCCGCATCCTGCGCCCACAAGGCCTCCGCGCCCCACGACCTGCGACTGGTCCGAACGGAGCGACGCTGCCGTTTCACCGCGGAAAGCACTGAAAGATGGGCTGATGGTGCGGGTCAAGAGGAGCAGGCTGCCGGATTGGGTCCCGGCGTGTTGCGACGCGGACGGGGAGTTTGGCGAGGGGGCGATGGCAGGGCCCAGCCACATCCCCACTCGATGGATGGCGCCCATCCCGTGACAAGGCGAGGTGCATCCAGACCTGGCCGCACGAGGAACGCGCGAGCTGGGCAGGCCCTCGTCCCGAGTGAGGCAGCCTTTCTCGTCAAGCAGGGCTGCGAGGCGGGGGCCGGTGGAGCTTTGGCATGGGGCGCCATCCGCGGCTCCGGCCTCCCTAACCGATGGATCTTCGGGGCCGTGGACTCGACCGCGGCTTGGCGAGCGGCGGACGAGGGGGAGGGAACGTTCGCGTTCACTCTACGTTGTGGGGACGGAAACGAGGCGGAGTGCTGGCAGCTGTCCAGTGGCGTCTTTGCCGCCTGCGATTTGACTATCGAGTGGATTGGAAGGAAGTTTCTGGTGAACGACCAGTGCGCGACGATGGCAAAGCTGCGTGGAGTCTTTTGAAGTGCTGGCGGCTTACTGAACGAAGTTTCAGGAGCTGTGAAAGGCGGCGAAGGGAGTCGCCTCGTTGACCGGTGATGAATTACCGCTGCTAGGCAGAGCATTAAGCAGCTGAGAGAAATTCAGTGCTGGGGTTGCGCCTCGCTTCGGCAGCGCTTGACAATACCCCAAGAGTCCTGTTGGGCTTGAATGTGCATGCTATGGCGGTTTTCTTTGTCCTGTGAGCTTCTATGAGCTAAGTTGTTAAAAGTGTAGGAGTGGTACGTTCAGAAATCGGGGGCGATTGACAGGGCTGTGATAGTGGCTGTGTTTTTGGTGACTCTCATCGAGCGCATATGGCTGATCGTTGAGCCATATTGCTGTTCCTAAGTGTAGACATCCTCCTGTCGGTCCTTGTCAGCTGTTTGTAACATCATGGCACTCGAACATGGTTTCGGAGCAGGAACGATCTGGTCCTGCTTGGTGCTGGGATTCCTGCTGCTGAGGGCGGTCACAACCCTGAACGTGACACAAGCGGACGATGATGATGCAGTGCCTGTTGATAGTGTTGTCCCAGCTGACTCTGTAGCAGCAGCAGTTACCAAGGCACTCAAGACTGATGTGGAAGCAGAAAGGAGTGCACTGCTGGCTGTAGATAAGGACAAGTTGGTTGAGATAGCCATGGACAAGAATCGTCAGATTGGGGATCATGTTGGGTAGAGCGTTTCATATTTATGTGTTGGGGTCGGTTCACTTCAATATAGCTATGAGAGGCTGGTTTTGGGGTAAAAATGAAAGGGCTCATGAGTTTGGTGGCAGAAAATGATGGCTGCAAATTGATGGGGATATCAAGTGATTGGAATATAGAAATGTGGAAAAAGGCAAACGTGATGTGAAAAGATATCAAAGTGCCATCAGAAGACATGCAAAATGGATGTGGCCTCTGACCTTCATTATTGGGGAGTCAGTATTGATTCCAGGCCTTATCCTTTGAGATTTGGGGCTGCATTTTGCAGCTGGGCCCACCACAATGTGAGTGATGAAGTTGTAGATGATGTGCATCTAATTTTACCAAGGAGAATGTCCCAATAGTTAGTGGCTATGACAGTGTGTGCATATGTGTGATGAGGAAGTGGACAGCGATTGGTGTCTGATGGTGATCGGTTTGGTGATCGGCGCTTGAGTGTGATGGGTGATCTTTGGTGAGCGGTGTTTTCAAGGTTTTTCTACCTTGGTATCCTGACGGCTTGATCATTCGACGGTCTTGATTGTGTTTCTCTTGGATTGCTTTATGTTGGTTCAAATTGGTTTGTGTGTTTGAGTTTGTTGGAGCAGCATTCTTGTTGTTCTTGGAGATTCTGGATTCCTTTGCGGGATCTATTGGAAGCTTGAGGTTGGCAAATGGGCACTTCTTTGGAATGTGCTGGAAAGGTGGTTGGATGTATGTAACAAATGTGTCACACATTATGAATGCCACAATAGGGACATTGGATTTGGGAGGTGAGAATGTTGGACTTTATGGGTTTCGGTGCAATTTCGGCTCACTGGATTGAGAATGGAAGGAAAAGGTGGATTGTTGGTTTCATAGCTATTGACATCCATCAAGCTTGCAGGTATGGGACTGCAATATCATGATGATGGGTTGAATGTTGACGGGTGGGAGGTCTGTATCCCATTTCTATTTGAAAGGTTTGATCCTAGCCTGTGGGGTCTAAAGAGGACTGGGAGGATACATGTGTGGCGGTCAATCCTGGACAAGCAGTGCTAAGGTAATCGGGGAGGAGGGTTTGACCTGCACAGATGTGATTGATTATTCTTGGATATACCTTGAAGTCAGAGTTTGGTAATGTGTGAGGTATGTTGGTTGCTTATAGCCCAAGGCCTGGGTGTTTCATCGAGATTATACCAAGGATCGTTTTGTGTTTGTTGACTTTATCTCCAAGCTAGCAACTGGACTGAGTATGGGAATCAGTGTCATGGAATCATATCTGATTTGTTGCTTACGCTTGATGGTTATGTGAGAATTGGAGTGCACTATTAGCATACAGGTATGGGACTGTAGTGCTGATAGGAGCTGAAGATTTGCATCTTGAAAGATGTATAGCTACTTTATTGGTGAGGAATACGTGGAGGTTTGCAGTGGAAATAGGAAGTGCTCATTTATGAGTCACAATTTGGCTTAGCGTGCCATGGTTAATTTCTTTATCTAGGGATCATACCTTGGCATTACAAATTGATTGGAGTTTTACAGAGCAATCATGTGCTCAAGGAATTGTCGATAAGGTGTTGGAACATTATATGGATTGGAGAAAGGAGAAAGCAAAGATGCCAAGAGGAAAGGAAAGGGCAAAATGTGAGTTGATGGACAAAGGAGGATGAGAAAGTTTCAATAGCTACACAAGGCATCACGGATGGATAGTATTGCTTTGTTTCAAGTACAGTAAATAGTGGATCATGGAGTTTAAGATCTGCAGCGTATTTGGGAAGGAGGCTATTGGCAGGTGCACCAGGACAATTTGGAGTTTGCGCAGGGTAAGCTGGTGTGCCCATGTTCGATTACAGCTCAATCTATTCAATTTAATGGCCATCGCTGTAATCGAGTAAAAGATGGTGGGAAAGAGTACGGACGTAGTCGGCCAGTTTTCCCTTGAAACGTACAAAGATGGCTGATTTCGATAGTCCTATCACTGCTCAGTACACAAGAAAAAACGTGTGCGCAGTCAGCTACATTCCAGTACAGTTGACTCAAAGCGGTCTAGGCTTAGATATCCCCTATTCTGTGAATCTGTGATTGGGATAATCAGAGCCAGCCCAACCTGTGTAGTTTGGGTCATTTTAAGGCCAGTCGATGGGCAGCACGGTCAGCTACGGCTGCGCTGTCATTTTGCCAAGGAAAAGGGCAGTAACTAGTTTGGTTGGACCCCTAGGTTGACGGGATGCAATACAGTTTTGAGTCACTCATTTCCAGCACACAGAATTGAGGCTATAGGTACATCAGACGGAAAGAAAGGGGCCGTAGTGTGTACAGGCCCGATGGAAAGCACCCTTGAAAAAAGGCTGGTCTGTTCGTAGGGAGCTCTTGGGTGACTTTCGCAGAGAAAGAAGGCCAAATTCTGGCCCCTTTTGAGGACGCCATGGACCGTAGGGGTTGTCATTCAACGGACCTGGACTTTTTCAAAAGGTCCTAAGACCTTCACAGGACAGGTACTGACAGGACATAAGGGTTC